CACACACACACACACACACGCACACATACACACATGCACACATACAAACACGGGCAGGGCAGGAACAAGATACAGCGAACTTCAACAGAAACTTTTCAGCCTGTCAAGAAAAATCAAACTGGGTCTATTCTTTCTTTTTTCTCTAAGGTTCATCACAATTTATTCTCTGTGGTACTTCCGCTCATTTCATCTCATGTTGCCCTCTGCGCCTATGACTTCCTCTCCTCCTGCGGATCCTTCCCTCGCACTGTCCCCAGCCTTTGATCCTTTTATAGTCGTCCCATATCCGTCTCCCGGTGATTGTCTGCTGCTAAAGTGACCTCGCCAAATGCGCACCCAGCCATAAATTGGCATGTTTCCAAAATATGAAGCTATGAAAAACAAAAGGAAGTCTGCCTTTTTGTTTTGAAATCCCACAAATTGTCTGACATTTGAAAGGGATATTTAGATCAAAGAAGAAAAAAAAAAAGCTTTTTGGGCACTTTTTGCTACTTATTTTTTAAATGTGCTTATTAAACATGTCAACTGTTACAAAAAACAGATAATATAATAGCTTCAGCCACTTAAATAGAAATATATTTTTTTCTTTAAAAAAAGCATAGGGTTCATATTATTCACAGAAAAGGCAACATAGTGGGCAGCATTTTAAAAATATTGCCAGCTGGGTGGACTTCCTATTTGGACGGCAGTGTCCTTTGTAATTTATCAGAGAGCAGGCGGTTGTTATCTGAGTATAGACACACAAGCTGCTAGTTGTCAATTACAGTGTTTCAGCAAAAACGATGGACCAGCAGCAAATCACTATATCGGAAACAAGCAATTATCTGGATTTAAAAGCATACAGGAAACCATCACCTCATTTTTATGGGCCTAAACATGTTTCTAGGCAACTAAACGGATGTGTCGTGATTGGTAAATGATGTGTTATTGTGTTGTAAAGGACAAAGCAAGAAAAGGACCAGTTGCGTATCAAATAGTGAGAAGCTGGTTTCGTATCTGACCACTGACTCCTTGAAGGTTCTTTCTGGATGGCTGATTTTAGCATTCTTGTGTCACCGCCCCCTCAGGAAGGAGACTGAAATTTTTAGAATAGCTGGAAAACCAACCCTCCATCCTGACCTCCCTATCTGATGTCTGGCTCCATTCTCAGGGTTGTTGCTATGCGCAAACACTGCAGGCCTGGAAGCACACTGGGCCTGGAGGCACGAGCTAGCCTGTCGACTGGCGGGTTACTGTGGGTGGATGTAGCACAGTGTGTAGGAGGCTGTCTGTGTGAGGGAGAAGGCTGTTGTAGTTTGGAATGGATAGCAGCTGAGGGCTTCCTTCTTTTTAGTGTGGTTTGTTTTTCCAACATTTAGGCTTTGATGTATAAGCAAAGACTAGAGCCAATTCAACCATTTAAAGTTTAAACTGTTTTTTAATTTATTTTATTTACATTCTTCTCTTTTCTCTTTACAGAGTGACAGATTGTCAAGGTGAGTTTCCCTCCGTGCTCCCTTATGTTAACCCTTATAATTCTTTTCAAATATATCTGGTTGTAATAAGGAGTTTTTGTCTATACTGTTGCAGGAATGAGAGCACTTCATCTTTAGATCGCAACGACACTCTTTTTAGCCGTAGCTATGGTGAAAGTCGAAGGCCGTACTCAAGCCGACTGGATAGAGATGACACCACTGACTACAAGAAGGTACTCAATTACTTCATCCTCTCTTTTCAATTAAAGTCAATCATTCATACAATTTCCCAGGATTATTCTTATTATTAATCTACATAATAAATAAATGACTGCACAACAGCGTGCGTGATCAGAGTTTGTACAAAGTCCAAAACAAGTGCATCTGCTGACTGTGGCGTGGTGCTCCTCAGCTGTACGAGCAGATTTTAGCCGAGAACGAGAAGCTGAAGGCCCAGTTACGCGACACAGACCTGGAGCTGGCGGACTTGAAGCTACAATTAGAGAAAGCCACGCAGGTACGTCGAGCGCAGTCAGCCGAAGGCACCAGAAAATAATTGTGGCCTCTTATGTACTCTGATGTGTGTGTTTGCAGAGGCAGGAGCGCTATGCTGACCGATCACAGCTTGAGATGGAGAAAAGGGTAATGACAGCACACTGAGCATAACAGATGATCTCTGTCTCTAAAGCGTGTCTCGTACTAATGACAGAGGTTTTGTGCGAGTTGTCTTGATAAAGTTGGACCTGCTTTAAACATCATGGTAACACTGCCGATGGGTTTATGTCTAAAGGTAACAAGCAGGCCCCAATATCATCTGAGTGGTGGTATGATCTAATGAGTTTCTGTACCGGCTTCCTCTCTGCTGCTGGCTGCCGTATCACTCGTGCCGTCGTAGCTGGAGGCCAAAGGGACGCCCTCCCTCCACGCCACCCGAAACACTGCCACCTTTTTTTCTTTTTTTTTTTTTTTTTTTCCCCCTGTTTATTGAACCTCAGATACAGCGTGTAGCCACAACCTGTCCATACTGCTGATTTTAGTTTTGAGAGTGTGTGTTTTATGTTGTTTTGCAAAGGGACTTGAATGAGCCTAGGTTGTCGTAAAGCTGCTTAAAGAAGCCACGCATGTGTGTTTTCATGCCTTCCTCACTCATTCAGTTTTAATGCTGGCGTATCTAGCTGCACCTGTGACATCTTAGCCTGTCGATTTGTCAGATTTATGCACATTTTTCTTTTATAGTTACTGTATCACTTGTCACAACAGCTGTTTATGGCTGCAAATATTCCCCTCTGGATAAAAAAGACATCCCCCATTGAGCCATTTCATTACCTTGACCTACAAAACGGCCTCTAATCATCTGCATCCCCATTCATTGACTCGTCCCCCCCCCCCCGTCAATTACCTGTCAATTGTGCAAACATCACTTACTATAAAGTTCTGAAGTGGCTTTTGCTTGTAGGTGCTTCACATGATGTGTGTGATGACGTGTTTTCTGTCCTATCACCCTCACCGTCTTCCACTCCTCCCTCCTAAAGAGTGTGCTCCACTGATTTTCTGTGACTTGGATAAGTTCTGAGGTAATCTGTTTCTCTCTGCCCACACAGGAAAAAAGAGCTCTTGAAAGGAAGATTTCTGAGATGGAGGAGGAACTTAAGGTATTGACACACTCATTCACACACAGACGGCACATTTTGTTTTTCTAATGAGTTTTAGAACGTTTTTTTTCCTCCTCGGACTCGGCCCTATCAGAGTAACGGAGCGCACGTTTCCCTCTCCACAGACTAAATAGATCCCACCTTTGTTGGGCTTCTCTGAGTTTCCTGTTCTGGCAGGTTGTTGAACTCAACTACTGTTTTCTTTGCACAAGCTTTTTTCTTTTTTTTTTCACTTGGTGAAATTATTGTCTCAGCTGTTGTCATTTGATAAATTTCTACTGTAGCTTTGCCAAAAGGAGTAAAAAAACAGGGGGGGTTGTGACCTCATAACAATAATTTATAAAAAAAAACTCTTTTTATATCAGCGAATACGTACTTCCGACTTTTTGCCCCTGTCCCAGAAGCACCTCAGGTCAGCTAGTCAAGTCTTCGACCGTCATTATTAAAGGTCTTGTATCAAGATGCGCAATTAAGTGTTCCTGTTCTGGAAAATTGACTGAGATACGAAAAAAAGATAGGGGGGAGAAACAAAATCCATCACACTCCTTGTAAGCATGTGTTGTTCCATCCCTGTGATAACGAGATGTGTTTATTTTTAGGTTGTAGACAGCTGGCTGATCTTATCAGTGTCACTTTTCCGTTGTATCTTCAAGAATCATGCTGAGCCGGAAAGCGCAATCATTTCTTCGGTCTCTAAATCTGTCTCATTTTCTAATAATCTTCCTCTTCTGTTTCCCCCTTTTCCCTCTCCCGGTCCCTATTCTCTATTGATTTCTAATGTCCTGTCTCTCATTAATCCTTTCTCCCCTGATCTGTCTCCCGAAACACATTTCTTTCACCCCTCCCCCACCCATTTCTTTGCCCTCCCGTGTGGTTGTCCCCCCCCCCCCCCGCCCCCACCCTCCCTGCAGAACCTTCCACAGGTAAAGCAGGTTCAGGCCCTGCGGCAGGTTAAGGAGCGGCTGCAGGCTGAGAATCGGGCACTGGCCCGCGTGGTGGCCAAGCTTTCGCAGTCGGCCTGCAGCCAGCTGCCCGCCGTCGACCTCTAAGCCACATCCATCTGTCCACCGCCATCTCTTCTTCTTCTTCTTCTTCTTCTTCCCCCTCACTTTCCCCCTTCCTGACCCTTTTCTTCTCATGCTCCATTTGCGCTCTGCCCCGCCCCCACACACAGGCAGGTGTCCAGCCGCCCAACCATGACTGGTTTTGTGAAATCCCTTTTCTGCCCCCACCTGCCTCCCCAGAGCTTTTGGTTTTCATATTGGGGAAGGCGTTTGATTTATTGTTTTTATTTTAAAACGGGACACTCTCCTTTCACAGCACAGAACACTGAAGTGCTTTCCACACCTATCAGGAGTTTGAAAACGTCCTCCTAGATATGTCGGATAAACTACGATGCGTAGAGCGGGTTGAAGCAAAGTCTTTAAGGGAAAGTGGTTCTGGATGTGAGGGCCTAAAATACTGACAAATTCACAAAGCGCTGTAAAGGAAAGTGTCCTCTTTGTGGTTTGTAGTTTGACGCTTTCCTCAGAGGGAGCTCAGGTGTTCAGTTTGGCTTGTTCTGGCTTCTTTGCATGAAGTGGCTTATAATGGCAGCACTTTTTTTGTATCGTTTAATATTGGCCCAAATTTTTTCGAACTGAACCCACATCCCGTGCGTTGGAGATTTTCTACAGTAAATATGCAAGACAACTGCATGCGCAGACGAGTTGGTTTGGACGCTGGTTTTGCCCTTTGCTCCTCAAGTAGCAAATATTCAGTCATTTTCACAAGTGTGTAATTATCAGAGACGGGACTGAAGCCTCACAGAGACGCTCGGCATCGAACATTTTTCCATCTTTGTGCAGTCATCTTGTAGATCCAGACGCGTCCCAGTGTGACATTATGCTTTAGTGGAGAAATGCAAGCTGTGATGGCTCTTAAGTACTAACATGACAATAAACGGTCACCTCTCTGAACAGAGATTCAGGCTTTTAATTTTTTTTATTTTTTTATTTTTTAAGATCACAATATACATCCCAAGTCTATTTTCCTGTGTCCCTGTCGGTGACCTCAGGGGGGCAGCATGAGGTCCAGCATCCTGCAGAGTGATGCTTCGAAGTATGAGCGGGCTGTATTTTATTTAATGGAACCACACTCCTGTCTGTAATATCATTTTGGATTTAACTGCATTTGTCCCAGTCAACAGTCCATTCTTACAAGTCTCATCTTATTAAAGACATCCACAATCACATCCTTAATCTTTTCACCTTTACAAGGGGGATTAGATATACATTTCAGTGCCTTAATCATTTATTTCATCACCCAAAAGATCATTTTAGATATCCACAATACCATTTTAATTCTAAGTAATTGTTTTTAGATTTACATCTAATATCAAAGTTCCCAGAGGGACAGAGGGTCATCACCGGCACTTTACAACACACAGGCGCACAGCTTCTAACAATATGTTATCCATGTTCATCCTTAGGAGGTGAGAGATTTCAAGTAGGAGACGCCACACTCAAAGGATTTATGACACTTTTCTTTTTTTTCTTTTTATCCCGAGTTTTTCTTACTTTTATCCAGTTCTGAGACAAATGTTTTCGCCTTTATTGTTTCAGTGAGAAGTAGAAGGCGTCTATGCCGTGACAGTAAATGCTATGCAAACTGGAAAACTGTCAGAATGGGAAGGATGGAAGTTACAGCTCTGGGCCTGGTCGGATCTTGGGGTGAAAGATAAATGTAGATCAAAAAGATCTAAATGGACATCCAGCTAGTCTTGACTTGTCCAGTAGCACAACACTCATGCCTAGAATGTAATCGATATCATTATCTCTGAATTTTCTGTTCGCAACATTCATGTCAAACTGTATTTTCACCTGCCCAGCATGTCCAAACTCTGGGAGCATAATCTCCCGACACCAGCCGGCGCTGTGATCATGACTTGATCTGCTGCAGATCAAACGGTCTTGACTTTGGGTCTTTGATGTGTGTTTTCTCTGGCTGCCGGTGGGCAGCCGCTCAGGTCCTGCATGGCTTTGTCAGGAACTTTGGCCTGTGGCTCGCCCGCTGCTCCTCCCCCTCCCGTAACCCGGATCAAAGATTGTGGATCGATTTTTATTTTGCTTCCTTCTGTTTAAAAACCCCCCAAAAAAGGCAGCCAAAACTCAAGCAATGCCATGCGACCCCTGAGACTGCTTATTGGGGCTGCAATTAACAAGTTTGTCAAACGGACGTGATCGGTTTTGAGAGCACCTGTGTGTCAAGACTCGTCTAAGCCGTCTCTCTCTGTCTGCTCCTCCCTACCCTCTGTTCCCTTTTATTCCCTTTCAGATGCTCCCAGACTTGAAAGCAGACAACCAGAGACTAAAGGACGAGAACGGAGCACTCATTCGAGTCATTAGCAAGCTTTCCAAGTAGAACCGACCACCCACCCCTCCTCTCGCACCGTCTTCTGCACCCGCTAGGCCCCCATGGCAGTGACTAATGGAATTGCACATTTAGATATTAATTGCAACAGACATCAGAGACAAGACTCCTTCTTTCTCCTTTCCTGCTCCCGACCCCTGACTTCTGTCTCCCGTTTTTGCTCCTCCAACACTGCAGCATCTGTCCATCCATCCGTCTGCTCCACCTCCTCGACTGTAGTCCTTTTGATTGTGTGGCTGCTGTCCTGATAAGAACCACTGAGTTTACAGAGCGAAAGGAAAGGGTTGTGTGATCAGCATGTAAGAGCGTTGTGGGCGGGGAAGCCTGCAAACTATTTAACCAATAAGCCTTAGTTGTACATAAAGAGAAAAAGAGTAGACACTTGCATCCATCTCTCTCTCGGCTATCACTGAGGAAAAGATATTATCCAACACCTGATTTTATTTGTGCCACAATCTCTCTTATTTGATGTTTTTTTTTTTTTTCCTCTTGTGTACGTGTTGTGTGCTGTGCACTTCCCCCCCTCACTCCATATTCTCCTAAAATGCCACTTCTGCCTGATTTCACTTCATTGTGGCGACTGGCTCCCCTAATTTATCCCCATTTTTCTCTTTTTTGGTTGAACTTTTAAGTTTCCCCCCACATAGGCAGGTCACTAATGCACACACACTCGCCCCCCCCCCCCCCCCCCCCCCCCCTCCCCCCATTTTTGTACCTCTGTGTGTGTTCCTCCAAGAGGGAAAAATTTGAATTCTCGCTTTAGCGAAATGAGGCGGACCTGGTGGAATTTAAGCTTTCACTATGTGCAATATGCATTTCTTTCTTTAAAAAAAAAAAATGCTTTAATGAGTCCATCACAAGTAGGATTTTTCACTCTTCCGCTGCTTCCATTGCTCGCTTCCTCTTCCCCCTCTTTTTTTCCTCCCCCCCTCCCCCCTTTTTTTTTTTTTTTTTTAATTTTGTAGTCAGTTTATATTCTGTATTTCTCACTTTGTTTTAGCAGGTACTGAGTGATGCTGTATATACCTGTATGTATTTGTTTGAGACCAGCACATGGCATGCGTTTATGGTTCCCGTCTGTTACTATTAAAAGTATACAAATTTCAGAGGACAAACAAATGTGTTTTAATTATTTTTCTTTAATAGTCTAAAAGCATTGGATACAATACAGTTGGGAGTCTCTCTTACACGGGACGTCCAGCAGCATTCATTGCTTTTTTTTTCTCCTTTTTTTTTCCAACTTAAAGTAAGCGTTCACATAATTGTGAGAGTTTAAAAAAGAAAAGAAATTTGCTTCACAACATTTCACTTTCATTGTATTCAGTATCTTGGAAGAGTGCTGTTGAATTTGTTTCGAATTTTTTAAAGCTGTAGTGTTATAGCCAAGGTGTTGTCACTAAAAAAAAAAAATTAAAAAAAAGAATAAATAAAAAGAATATCTTAGGTATTGCTAATCCAGTCCTTTCTAGAATGTCTACATGCACTGTCAATGCCATGTGAGGAGTCTTGATGTCAGGTCAAAGCAAAACGCCACCATCAAATATTATATTCATCTGACATTTTATGCATTTCAGTGGCCTTTTTAATGATGTTTTAGTAAAACAAGTTAAGGAAAACTTACTGCAGATGAACCAAGGGCCATCTCCTCTGGTTTAGACCTTTTTTTTGTTTGTTTTTGTTTTTTTCCCTTTATTTTTCCCATCATCTTGTAAAATAGGTGTGTGGCTTAATACATGCAAGCTGTGCTGTTACTACCAACCACTGAAGAGTTCATTAAAAATAAACTTGTACATTGTAAAGTTCCCATGACTCCCACTTTTTTTTTTCTGTTGGTGAAAAAATGTTTTTTTGTGATTTTCTTTTTCTTTTGTTTTACAGGAATGAGAGTGCGTGCTTTGGTATCAGAAATATGAATTACATTAATGCACAAGCTGAGATGAACAAAACCCACTCAGATTCCAGTCTTAATGTATTTTTTTGTACTTGTTTTATGTTGTGGTTACACTTTTAAAAAAAGAAAAGAAAGAATGTAATAAAATGTATTCATTTTAGACGGGGAATGTTTGAATTGAGAAATGTCTTTATTTAGAACATGCATCATCCTTATCAAATCGATACTGCTTTAAACATAGCATAGCATAACATATAGCAGAACACTCAGCATTGTGAAATGCTTAAAAATTAGGTATTTGGGCTTGGATTGGATAAATAACACATGAATTTGAAATAAAAAGTCTATCTTTGAGAGGCGTCCTCAGAGGAACTGTTGGACTCAGCAAAAACCTAGTTTGTGGCGGAAAAATGCCCACATGATGGACAAATTATTCATTTTTGGACCGCAAATAACAATTTAATCAAAACTTAAGAGAGGAGACCTTACCCATTCCTTCACAATTCTCAATTACAGAACCTGTGTCCTTCATGATAATGGAAAACAGTGTTTTTCACGACGGTGACAGCTGGGTATTAAACTGACGCGGGAATAAGATCTCCTTTTATTAGAATAAATAAAAAAAGATACACAGTAAAACAACATGTAACCAGCTGAGCCACCACTCTATGGCCAGCAAACCTTTGGTTATGGACTGTTCTGCTGTTGCTGTGCGCCATGGCGCCAGCAGGGGGCGCACAGCTTCACCATCCATGCCCTCTCTCCTCTTTCTGCTTTGCTTCTCTGCTCTTTAGTGTAACCAAACATGACAGTGTATCTGAAGGAGATAAAAGGGATCCCAGACTTCAGCAACACGGACACACAGCCATTAAATGGCTACATTTCGGGGAGCATTTGCTGCCACTTCCTGTTACTAAACGCGGCTCTGATTTCTGTCCTATGCTCGTGGAGCCGTCTTTGCTCCAAGTCCTGGTTGCTGTGTTCTGTCAGTGGTTCACTGAGTGCAGCCTGCTTGGGTCTGTGACGTTCCTCAGTGACTTCATAAGGACCTTGATGGGTGATTTTAAACAAAAAAAACAGATTTTTTAGGTTAGAGCTAAGCCAATGGCCCTTTTAGGGACAAATAGTGCAAACGATTGCTTTCTTTCTGTTTTGTTTTCCTGCTTCAAACGTTAGGGGATCAGTGGAGGACGTGTGCAAATCCGAAATCTTGATACTCAAGGCTGTCCGCTCCAGTCCACAAACACTTGGCAGCAGTCGTGGCCCTCGTTGTGATTCATCATCTGTAGTTTTGCGGTTATCCATCCTAATCCCTAATTAGATATTTCAGTCAGGATTGATGAGACCGTACTTGTGTTTTTCTTGTCGAGGCCTTTTTTCCACTCGCCACAAATCATATTTCTGGGGGGGCGTCTGATTGGGCCGATTGAGGTAAAGTGTCAGAGGCTCATTGGAGGAGAGCTGCTGTAGGAACTGACCGAGATCCAGTTTTTCCACATGATTTCTCACATTATATAATATTGGCTGGACGCTTTAAAGCTTACAGTACCGGCTGATTGTGCTCCCAGTTCAAGATTGAGCGGGACATTTAAGTTCATGCTGATCTTAAATTTGACTGCTACTGTAGTTCTGCGTGCCACCCGTTACCCAAATCATGTCTCAGCCTTCAAACTATCAAACCGTCTACCTCTGAATGTAATGTAGAAGGTGAAGACAGTATGTCACTGTATTCTATGATGGGCCATCACTGCCACCTTGTGAGGAATGTTCTCTCATTACCTCTGTTTAGGCTTGCATTGCTTTCTAAAACAGTTTAACGAGCAAAGAGGAGGTGAGATGGAGCCTATAAGATGGACCTTACCAGGGGGAACCTTTATCAGACGATAAAGGTGTCACTGAACCACAATCTGATTGGATCCATTTTTAAATTAAACCATCTTTTTTTCTCTCCTTGAACAAATTCTAATCCTCCTAAACACTTTCAGCGATGTGTTCATTCCATAGAGCCATGCAAATTCTATTTTTTTGGGATAACTTTATTGATCGCAAACATGTGTCAATACTTGAAAGTCAATAAAAGAAATGTGCATTTGTGTTTAAGTTTTTGGAACAAGGTGAGAGTTTTTTTTTTTCTCAAGTAAATCAAAGAGAATTTAAACCTGTGAATACTTGAAATGGGCCTTGTGTGCATGTTTGGTAACGCAGGCATAACTACTGACACATCAATTCACAATTTCAAACACCTCCAATATGAGCATCTGATGCCAGAGAAATGGAAAAAGATGGGCATCATGGTTAGAATTTAAAGAGCCCCGTTAAGCTGAAAAACATCTCGAGGGAAGGAAATTCTCACTTCTGCTGTTTGGTCTGTGACTCATGGCAGCAGCTCCACTATCAGTTGAGGCGCTATGCTTTTCTAGGTTGGAAGTCTTCCACAAAGATAGAATTAGACCTCGGCAATTCTTGTCACACACGGCAACACTCACGCTCACACTCATCTCCTGCTCATTTTTATTTGGGCTACTCTCCCCTCTTCTTTAAAAGTGCAGCAAACCCAGCCAACCTCTTTTTCTGCCGGCAATCTTAAACACTAGACTTAGACATGGTGGATGAGCAAAACCCCTCTGTTGCCGACCACAAACGGCAGCGGGGTCTCTCTCCGATGACAAACAATGACAAATGGAGGCGTCCAGATAAAGCGACAGCTCGAGTCTGTCGGAGAAACAAAGATAAACACGCCCAGTTGGAGAAATGTAATTCCAGTCATGGGTGAAAGCGAGCAGAAAGAAGGATATTGAGACATCTCCCTCAATCTGACTGCATCTGCAGGAAGCTAAATATCCCGCGCTGTCAGGAACATTGAGGAGATTGTACCAGGAAACCTGATGCATTGATCATAGAATTTGTAAATCGCGTACGTAATGTGTTACTGTTCAAGTTTCAGCAGTGTGGACATATAGGAGTCAATTCTAAAAATGATTAGTTACTCAAAATGCAGATTTCTTCCTCTTGTTCAGGTTTGCCTTTACTTTTG